CTTGGGCCAGTGAAGCGACGTCCTCCACAACTAGACTGAAGAACAAAAGGACAGCAACTTGTCTGTTCCCCTTCCCCAGATTCCCCAGCGCTGTTCCCCTCCCCCAATTCCCCAATAAAAATCTTTCAAAAAAAAAAAGAAATAGAAACTATGAATAATGCTTCATGTGTTTCATAAAATAAAGTCAACTACACACTCCAATCAGCCGACACACTCAAAGAAAAGGCCAAGCCCTATGTCCAAAAAAAGGTGAATTTTTAAAAAGAGTGAATGAATGTACATTTAGTAGTTTAAGTTAAAATAGAATGTTCATAGCACATATGCGTCACTCTTTGGGCTTCATCACTGTAACCCACCACTCAGTGAGCCCAAGCCCACAAGATACGGTGGCTTTTCCCATGTTTAACTCACCAGCTCTGGGTCATCCTCCTCCACGTTGGTAGATTTTCCTTCCTTCTTTAATTGCTTTTTTCGCTCTTTCACCTAAAAAGAATTTTTTTTCATCAAAAAATGAGCACTCATACTTTGAGAATATCGTTAAGCTGCACACATGACGTGCACTTTTCTATACGTATGGGTGTAACAAAAGTCTGCACTGAAAAAAGATGAGCCTCTCCCCTCCCCCACCAAAACAGCAATGCAATCACAGAAAACTATGAGCCTGGGCTCCTTTTCTAACCTCATCTAAAATCCAATCCACCTGGAAGGATGAAAGGGGACCAGCGAGGGAGCTGTACCAACTTATCAAATCCTAGGCCAGATCCAGTCTTTGATAAATTCAACGTGTAACCCATTTATCTTTCGCAGCTTGTAGTTACATGTTTATAGCACAGGAAATACACTTGTCAAGTTTTAGAAGAAGCTACAGAACATTTTAAATATTGTTTTTCTGGCATTTCTACAACTGCATTCTTGATCATTTTCACTGTGAAACCCATTTAACCCAATAATTTTCATGTAGTGTTAACTATTTTTATCACTTTGGCAACCATTGAGATAAAAAAAATTTAAATACACCATTCACATAAGAATGACACTACTCCATTAAACAATCATTCAGGGTATTACATCAACAAAAGTCAAGTGTTCCAAGCTCATAAAGGCCCCACTGCCACCTTGTGGTCAGAACGACCAAGGATGGCTCCTTTACAGGCAAAATAAAGAGGAAGGGTAACTATAACTACCACCAATGACTCCAGGTCAAATTGTCAGGTACTTTTGTGATTTTTACCAGAATGGGCCTACGGGTGCCATCTCCAACACATGACCAGCAGGACATAGTTATGGCCATCTGTCGCCTCTTTTTACTCATTTTCCTCATCTAAATTGGACTCATTATTATTATCGGTTATAAAGTTCTATTTCAGATTTCAAAGCTTTGCAAAGAAAAGGTCACATCCATATTCACTCCCGATTAAAACAGCTCTTATAAATGGCCTCAAGATTGTTGCCTCAGCAAGTAAAAAATGAAAACAAAGACCTTTCTTACCTCAAGCAAGCCACTTAACATTTCCCACCACTCAGGAGATTTAGGTAATGCAAAAAAAAAATAACACCAGCTCTAACTGAATTTATTTCAATTGAGTCCTTCCCTCTTATTAATACAGACGTGTGGCTCCTCCGATTTAAAAAAAAAATTTACTCATATCCCCTTGCCAGCCTATCTCAAGCCCATGTTCCAACCCCTTCACGGACAAGCATAAAAATCAAGGGTCAAGTGTCACCATGGCTGTTCCATTTTTCCACTCTCATGATGGGGTAGTGTGAATGTGAAGAGAGGAAGCCCTCTCTCCACAACACAGGACTGGTAAGGAAGGAGGTCGGAGCAGTGTCCTAGCCACTCCTCATCCTGAGCTCTAGAGGCGAATTACAGCTTTAGGCACCCACTATTCACGACCACCACAGCAAAGCGGTGGTGACCACATAAGCAGTCACAATTATGCCAGGAGGCACTGCTATGTCAACGTTTACCCTCCTACAAGGTGCCCAAGGCTTGCTAATACTTCCTGTAAACACAGCAGCACTATAAATACTTACAGTGTGTTCCACGTATTCTTTTCCTGCCTGAATTACATCCAGGGCCCTCTTCTTTTGTTCCTGATCCAGTAGCAACTTGTAAGCTTTGTCCACAGCTAATGCAAAACATTGAAATTAACTGTTTCTGCAAACACCCTCTGCAAGTCTGAACTCTACTCAGGCAGTGTACATGGACTTGTGCTGTCTAAAAGCATTCCCTACTTTGTTCAATTATTTACTGTTGTTAAACTAATTAAAAAACATACAACTACAGCAGTGACTTTCCTTGAGAGCCTTGGAGAAAATTAAATATACACTCAAGGCTAAATACACCACATCTAAATTTAATTCAGTGATAAAATACTGCCAATTATATTTTATGTTCAAAGGAAAAAAAATGACCCTAGGCAATAACAGTCTTTGTTGGCACATAAAAGTTTTAACAAAGCAAAGCTAAGGTCTATTTCTTAAACAGCAACATTTTGCTTTGGAATGACAACCATTTCACTGAAAACCACAGCTTCTTCATGACCAGAAAGCAGAACTATCACATTCTTTTCTTGATCCAGGACAAGGAACAGTAGGTCCCTAACAGTGACAATATATTTATTCAGAAGCAGGTAAATTTACAAATACCTTCAAAAGCCTTTTGTGCCCTGTCAGCATCATCTTGATTTTTGTCAGGATGCACCAATATGGATAACTATAATAAGAGAAAAGGTTAGGTTTGTCAAGAAAAGAAACATTTACTCTTTGCCTGCACTCTTTACAGCCAAAAGCTCTAAGGTACTTTAAGGAACTTCTCAGTTCGGGCTGTGCTCCAGTTCTGCGAAGTTTCTGCTTTCCACCCTCAGAACTTCTGAACCAGTCTCTGGCATTTGTACTTGTTAAACCTCGACTAGACTGGGTATCAGATGATAGTAAGGAATTTGTGCTAATTTTGTTAGGTGTGACAGGTAGTTATGCAAAAAATATACTTTTTTATTTGGGGGGATTCATGCTTAAGTATTTAGGGGTAAAGTATCATAGTGTCTATAATTTACTTTTCAACAATTTAGTCAAAAATATATAGTTAAGGGGCCGGCCGAGTGGCTCAGTTGGTTAAGAGCTCGCTCAAGAGTTTGAGCTCTGAGCAACAGCGGTTCGAGTCCAGCCCGAGCTGAGCAGNGCCGGCGACGGCATAGGCTGCAGTGGGCTGCCATAAGCTACTGTGAGTGGCCGACAGTCAGCGGAATGACTGGCAGCCGGCATGAGCTGCCGTGAGCCGCCGTGAGCGGCCATCCAGAGGCCGGCAACCGATCTACCTCACCGGGGAAGAGCACAATGATAATACCAACATGGGCCAGTAAAGTGACGTCCTCCACAACCAAAGAACAAAAGGACAGCAACTTGTCTGTTCCCCTTCCCCGATTCCCCAACGCTGTTCCCATCCCCCAATACCCCAGTAAAATCTTAAAAAAAAACTAAAAAAAATTAAAAATTTTGTTATTGCTAAACCAATCATCAACACAAAATACATAAACTAAATTAACCTCGAGATTTCTGATGAGCCAGGGAAACCACAGTTTAGGGCTATAAACACTGATTACATTGAACAATACTACATACTCACCAAAGCTGCAGCCACTTGTCACACAAAGCGTTCTGGCCTCAGTAACAATGGCCTCAATAACTGCCTGTTTCACTCCAGGAAATCAGGAAGTAAACACGCAGCACTCTTGATTATAAACTCCCTTAGGACAGGTCTATTCAGTATTTCCCAAAAGTCAGAATTTCGTACCCTGGTGATTCAAAAGTCTGGCTGTTTCAGATAACTATTTTAGACAGTCTCTTAAAATACATACTACATAACTGCTTTATTGGGAAAATCTTCAAAGAGCAATGTTGATTAATCTAGGTAGTTAAATATGGTTTAAATGAATATGCTGAGATATACCTTTCATGCATCTCTTTGGCTTCTCTCTCCTTCCTTTTAATTTCCAGCTCAGCAAAGAGTTTCATGGTCTGTTTGTATACTGCCTGTTTGAACTACAAGAAAATTAAGAACAAAACAAAATAAGTACATATTTTACCAGGAACTTGAATCAAGTACTTTCAATGGAGCCCAAGACAAAAGCATATTAGAACCCAGCAAGGAAAAAAGGTTCTTCAAAGAGAACCACTTAATGGTGCTCTTTTGGGAAATAAATAACACATCCGCCTATGAGCTCTTCCCGCCACTTTCACCATACAGATGATACATGGGAAACTTTCCTAGTAAAAGGCACCAATAAAGAAAAAGCTCTTCCCGCTTATCTCAACTATTTGAGATTTTGGAGGACCGTGTCCTCCAAAGACCTTCCAAAAATAACTTTTATTCTTTCTTTTCACAAATATTTTATAATTACTCCATGCTAAGCACCGAACTAGGTGCTTCGCTGAGATATGAAGTTGCTACCAAGCAGACCTGTCTTACAGGTCTACTGACTATGGCAGGGCTACTAATTGTCCCCACAACCTCGCTTCATTCTCTGTTCTCCCTCCATCTAAAATCCCTTTTCTTAAGGCACAGGGCCACCCAACATAAAAGCCTCTGTTTCCTGGGCTTCCTTGTAGCTAGGTGTGGCCATGTGACTTAAGTTTTAGCTAATGGGATATTAGGAAAAGTAATGTAGAAACTTCCTGGAATATTCTTAGAGGGAGTAGGCTTATTCCTTCTTGCCTCCTTCCTCTGTTCTGGACTGTGAGGATGGAGGCAACATCCTTGTTGGCAGAGTTACAGAAAGGAGGAGACTAAGTCCTCGGATGACACTTGGTCCAGGGCTGCCATACCAATGGCCATCTTCTTCCCAAAGAAAACAAATTGCTAGCTTGTTCAAACCATCATCATTTTGGGTGTCAATTGTATGCAGTTGAATTTATATTCCAACTAACACACTGACAAAAACAGATAACACATTAGATAGAAAACAGAACTCTAT